GCTGCCGCCCAGCCTGCTGCGTGTCCAGCTGCTGCCAGCCCTGCTGCCGCCCAACCTGCTGCGTGTCCAGCTGCTGCCAGCCCTGCTGCCGTCCAGCCTGCTGCGTGTCCAGCTGCTGCCAGCCCTGCTGCCGCCCAGCCTGCTGCGTGTCCAGCTGCTGCCAGCCCTGCTGCCGTCCAACCTGCTGTGGGTCCAGTTGCTGCCAACCAGCTTGCTCTGGCCCCGTGTATTGCCACAGAACCTGCTACCACCCAACATGCGTCAGCCTGCCTGGTTGCCTGCCTGAGAGCTTCGGAAACATCTGCTGCCGCCCAGCTTGTGGTGGGTCCAGCTGCTGCCAGTCTTCCAGCTGCTAACCAGTTTAACAAGGAACCACTATCCGCACAGACCAAACTTCTGTCAATTAACTTGTAATTCCTGGGACAAAATCACTTCTTTGGCTTTGTTGATCCCCAGCATATAATCAAAGTTTGTGTTAATCCTTTGCTTTTTTAAAAGCTTGTGAATCACCTTGATGGAGTACAGATTACTTCTCCCTAATTCTCTCCTCTCTTGTGTCCTGTGCATTGTGTTCTAACTTTGAGTATTCTCAATATAAAGTGATGGTCTCAGCTTTAACTCTAAAAATAAGATCTTCACTTTCATCATCTAAGTAACTGAGAAAACTCGATCCTCTTAACGTTTTTCATCAGTTTCTGTGAATGATCAATAACATTCATGATCATGTTTTACTTTTTAATTATCTCAAGATTCTTGTCTCCTTGTTTATTCTTCAGATGATCACTTTGTATTTCCTTCCAAAGTCAGGAGTCTAACCTATAGTTTTTAAATAAATTTTGTACCAATATCCATCCCATATTGTGTTTTTGTTTTATTGTACAGCATTCTTTATATAAGGATTTATATACATAGTGCATGCTGTATGCACTATTCATTCTAAGTCTCATAACAGTCACCCATGAATTACTACCTCCATCTTTCAGATGAGAAAATTAACTAGTATAATATCACATAGTTCATTATGAACAGATTCATATCTTGGGCTGGACCTTCTGTATCTGGTCAAGGACACTTACATTTACACATCAAGACAAGTAGAAATGACACTGAATGAAACTGAGCACTAGCAAGTTTAATTCCATCTTTAGCAATGGAAATTATTGGTGTTATTGCAAGGTGCCACTGAGTCAGTTCCAACTCATAGCAACCCTATGTACAACAGAATGAAACATTGCCCAGTCCTGTGCCACCCTCACAACTGTTGTTATATCTGACCCCATCGTTGTGATCACTAGGTCAATCCATCTTATTGAGGTTCTTCGTCTTTTTCACTGACCCTGCACTTTTCTAAGCATGATGCTCTTCTCCCATGTCTGGTGTATCCTAATAATGCATCCAAAGAATATAAGACAGAGTCTCACTATCCTCATTTCAAGGATTATTCTGGTTGTAATTCCTCCAAGATAGATTTGTGGGTTCTTCTGGCAGTCCAGTGTACTTTCTGTATTCTCTGACAACACCATAATTCAAATGCATCAATTCTTCTACTGTCTTTCTTATTCACTGTCCAACATTTTAATGCCTATAAGGCTATTGAAAATCCATGACTTGGGTGAGGCACACCTTAGTCCTAAAAATGATATCTTTACTTTTTAATACTTTAAAGAGATTTTTTATTTTATTTTATTTTTGGCAGCAGATTTGCCTAATGCAATATATCATTTGATTTCTTGACTGTTGCTTCCATGAGCATTAATTGTGGATCCAAGTAAAATGAAATTTTTGATAACTTCAATCTTTTCTCAGTTTATCATGATGTTATTTATTGGTCCAGTTGTGAGGAGTTTCATTTTCTTCGTATTGATGTGCAATCCATACTGAAGGCTGAAGTCTTTGGTTTTCATCAGTAAATATTTCAAGTCCTCTTTGCTTCCTAAGAGCAAGGTTTTGTCATCTGTTTTTCACGGGTTATTACTGAGTCTTCCTCCAATCCTGATGCCATGTTCTTCTTCACATGATCCAATTTATAGGATAATTTGCTCAACATCACAGAAACACACAAGTCACCATATTCTGACAAACTGACAAACTAGTGGTAGACTAGAAATAATAATTCATAGTAAATGCAGATAATGCTTTGGTTTGCAAACTTATTCCTATAGTAGTGTTGCAGCAGTGCAAGCCAGAAAGAACTCAACACAAAAATCTTAAAGAGCAAAGTTTATTGCCGGCGGCCAGAGTGTCAGCTAAAGCCCAAAACACTCTGACCCTGAAGTGAGCAGGGGAACAGGGTTTTGTATAAAAACACAGAGTGGTTAAAACCAGCAGACTTGTCTTGTCACCTGGGGTGGAAAATTCCAGCAAACCCTTATCTTGTAAATGGGAGTAAACCCACCAATAAATCCTTGTCTTGTTTGTATGGATGGACTAAGTTTTTATCCTATTTGTTGAGGTGTCCTTGGGTCATTCTGACCTTTATGGTTTTTCTGTAAGTTTATTTATTATTTTTCCATAGGGTGAGGAGGGGGGTGAGACTGGGCTGAAAGGACTTAGTGGATACCTTGTTTAAATCAGGGCTGTTAGTCATGCTATAACAGTAGTGTTCCACACCTCAGTGAGCAGCAGCTACCTGTTAAGACAACAGGGGCCAAAATTATGAGCACTTGTGAATGCTGGGAGTCATTCTTTGTCTCAAATCCTGTCCAAACACTAATGCAAGTCATTCATATCACATACGTTTAAGCTTCCATTGTTTCCTGATAAAATAGACTTATCTAACAGTCCCAGTGTGGTGCGGTAGGATATGCACTCGACTTCTAATTATAACATTACGAACCTTGCCGTCTGCACTTCCAAGGAGCATTCTGGCTATACCACTTCAAAACAAAACTTGCTTGTTTTTCTGGAAATCCATGGTACTTTCAATATTCTTGCCCCAAATCATAATTCAAACACAACAATTCTTCTGCGGGCTTCCTTATTCATTGTCCAGCTTTAACATGCATCTGAAGCTATTGAAAATACCATGACTTAGGCTAGATGCACCTTAGTCTTCAAAATAATATCTTTGCTTTTGAATGCTTTAAAGAGGTCTTATGCAGAAGATTTGCCTACTGCCATACATCATTTGAATTCTTGACTGCTGCTTCCATGCATGCTGATAGTAGATCCAAACAAACTGAAGTCTTTGACAACTTCAATCTTTGCTCCATTTATCATGATATTATTTGTGCAGTTGTGAGCATTTTTGTTTTCTCTACATAGAGGTGCAATCCTTACTGAAGGCTGGTCTTCATCAGTAAGTATTTTAAGTTCTCTTCACTTCCAGCAAAAAGGTTGTATCATCTACATATCGGAGGTCATTGATGAGTCTTTCTACAACCCTGGTGCCATGTTCTTCCTTATATAATCTAATCTCTTGAATTATTTGATCAACATACAAATTGAGTAAGTGTGGTGAAAGGATACAACCCTGGCACACACCTTTCCTGATTCAGTATCTCCTTGTTCCGTTTGAAGGACTATCTCTTGGTTTGTGTACATGTTCTTAAAGAATACAATGAAGTGTTCTAGAATATCCAAATCTTTTCAATGTTATGCATAGTTTGTTCTTATCCACCTAATCAAATGCCTTTGCTTCATCAATAAAGCACACATACACATCTTTCTGCTATTCTCTGCTGCCAGTCAAGATCCATCTGACATCAGCAATGATATCCCTTGTTGGTCTTTCAAAATTCTATCGTTTGATCTCCAGCACCATTATTATCACTAAGGCCATATTTTGTGATCCCCAATCATTCCTCTTTGCTTCCAAATTTTACACTCCAGTCACCAGTAATTATCAATGTATCTTGATTGCATATTTGATCAATTTCAAACTGATGTTGGTATAATTTTTCAATTTCAGCATCAATGGTGTTAGTAGTTAGTGTGTAAATTTGAGTAATAGTGGTATTAACTGGTCTTCCTGGTATGTGTGTGTATATCATTCTATCACAGACAGCATTTTAGTTCAAGATAGATCTTGAAATACTCTTTTTGAAGATGACTAAAATGCCATTCCTCTTCAATTTGTAGTTCTCAGCAGAGTAAATCATATGAATGTCTGGTGCAAAATGGCCAATGCCAGTGCATTTCAATTCACTAACATTGAGGGTGTCAATCTTTATGCATTCCATTTCATTTTAGTTGACTTCCAATTTTCCTAGGTTCATACTTCGTACATTGTACTTTCCCTTCATTAATGGGTGTTTGCAGTTAGTCCTTCTCATTTTGAGTTGTGTTCCATCAGCAAATGATGGTCTTGAAATTGTTGCTTAATCCACATCATGAAAGTCAACTCTACTTTGAGGAGACAACTCTCCCATTTGTATTTTGAGTGCCTTCCCACCTGAGGGACTCATCTTCTGGCATGATATCAGACCATATTCTGCTGCGATTCATAAGGTTTTCAGTGGCTAGCCATTCAGAAGTAGTCCACCTCTTCTTTCTGTCTGTCTTAGTCTGGAAGCTCCACTGAGACCTATCCACCATGGGTGCCCCTGCTGATATTTACAATACAGGTGGCATAGCTTCCAGCATCACAGCAACACAAAAGTCATCATAGTCCAACAAAATGACAGAAGGCTACTGGAATGGAATATTATTCAGTGATTAAAAAGAAATGAGAAATCAAGCCATGAAAAGACATAAGAAATCTTAAATGCATATTGCACGAGGGCTTCTATCATGGAGGGCGGCGGTTAAACGATGTGCGAGAACTGCGCAGACCAGGTGGAGGTGTTAAATGAAACCCAGACCACGGAACAGTGGGGTGAGAGGTGTCTGGAGACCAGGTCGATGGGGAGAAGCTGCCTAGCGGGAAGAGACTGCAGGGGTCGGCCAGGCTGTCCTACTTACCCCGGACGAGCTAGAGCGCCGTCCTAGCCTAACCGTTGGATCCTGGCTTTGAGGCGGGGTCGACCAACTTAGAGACCCACAAGCGCAGACCAAAGCCTCTCACTACAACCCAGTCACCCCTGCTGCGCTTCCGTCTCTTGATTGACATCAGAGGATGGAAATCCCATCTTAGAGT